CCTTTAAAGTTGGCCAGCTTTTTCCCGATCACTCAATAATTCTGTTACACAAAACCCAATAGTATATCTCATACAATGGTCTGGGTGTGTACTCTACCAAAAAATCCTGAAAATTGGACAGCTAGGAAGTAGTTTTTGCTGGAACTGACATGATGGTTTAACCAAAAACAAATCTGTACCTGTGCACCACTGTTGACATCAAGGACTCCATTGCTTTTGTCTGAGTTAAAGCCTGTTTGCAGAGATTGCTGTTGATTGTTAATGACTGTGGAGAAAGAGATGATGATTCCCTGTTAACCACACCTGATCACAGTTATAGTTATTTTATGTCTTCCTGTTATGGATAAACTAGGATTCAAATGCGTACATGGTTTGGTCATCTGCAGAGATTGTGTTATTCTGGCTTCAGGAATCGTTGGGTTGGAGAGGCTTGAAAATACATTCTGTCAGATAAAGGGGCAAGCAATGAATCAGAGGTTCATCAACAACATTTAGTCTGTGATTGAGATTTAGTTTCTTGCTTCACTTTGTTTTCCATGATACACTGGATAAAAACATCGACCACATAACGGCGCCCTACAAATCAAGCTAACGAAGGGAATGTAACGTCAGGAACACTAACATGAGTCTTTGGATTTTCATAACCACGAGTTAAGTATGTGTTTTGGTTAGAGTAAAAGGCGAACCACCAGCTGATCACTACAGCAGAGACTCTGGCACTGAAAGACATCACAAGCATAAGATGTCGTTATTTTGGCTTCACTTTACTTCAATGGGAAGGTGGAGACACATCGTCCATATTTATATATATATATATATATTCAATTAATTTTTTTCATACAACGCAAGGAAGAAAGATATTTCTAAGCAGGTTATGCAAACTGTAAGTTAGTGTAATGTTTATTATACCATATTATCTCTGCTTTAAAATACCTCATGCTTGACTGGAGCGTTGTCAGTCAATCTGCTCTCTCTTTGACGAGAGTCTTCCCGTCGATGTAACTGAATGTTATTCATGCCCTCTGAAAAGAAAACATTTGAACCTTTCTTTTCAGGTTACATCCTCATATGAATCATGTGCAGCTTATTTTACTGTGAAACTAAATTAACAATGATATTGAGCTATATGTTTTAATTGTCAAGAGGTGAACAAGAGATACAAAAGTACAAAAAACACCAATTAACGCTGAAAAGAAGTCAGTTGTGTTTGACTCACCTGACAAAGTAAAAGTGGGGAAAACTTCCACCAAAGGCTCAGCTTCTCTGACTGGAGGTCCTGCATAGGTCAGTTGAGGAATAATACTATTAAATCATGCATCCCTTTTATTGTATATTGCTATATTGTATAAGTCTCAGTTGGCTGATTTAACTGTGACATTTGATGGAGTTTCATTGATATAAAGGTAAAAATAGTGCATACATTGTCTTGTAGGGTTTCTTAAATGCACTAAATCCCATATCATTACAGGTTACCACAGACTCTTCCCTCAGCCTTCTACTGTTGGTATTACTTTTTGTACCATATCTGTAATTTGCAGGGTGTCAACAAGAGATAAAATACAAGAAACACCGTAAACAGTATGAAAAATCTGTTGCGTACGACTCACCAGGCTTGGTCAAAGGGGTGAAAAGGGGCTCAGCTTCTCTGATTGGAGGTCTCGGTAAGGCTAATTGAGGAACAACACGATTAAATCTGAGCTGTTCACTCTCTTGGATTCTTGGCTGAAATAGAGAGGTTTATAGGCATGATCAAATACAGGATCAGAGTGGATTTAGAACAAGAAACTTCACACACATGTTTTGAGGAGCTCTGAGACTTATTTAAACCTGTTGAAAAGTGGAATAATAAGTGCAGCATTTGTGATTATTGGTTGCAATTTGGTGACAACTGATATTATATCTTATCCTTTTACTTGTTCTCACCGCTGTACTTAATAATCCTGCTGCCAAGTCTTCTTTGGTAGATTAACATCAACTTCTATTACCCTCTTTCAAGTCATAAGCGCCCCCGGGAGGAGGCATGAAGTAGTGTTCGTGAGTCAAATTGGCAGGAAAATCTGTTTAAAGCCACCAATTTTTCATTTTTATCATAGAAATTGTGATATTTGGCACCACCAGTGAGTTGATAATTGTATCACACAAGACAGGACAAAATATATATATCACCTTATAGATATTTTGTCCCATCCCTAATGGGCAATATAATCAGATTTTATTTACCTCTCTGTTGGCGTTTGGTCTGCTTTCTCCTCGATGAGTTCCCCAAACATTTATCCACATGTTCTGTTCAGCCTCTGAAAATAAGAAAATATTGCTTTTCCTTCTGTTTTCATTTACTTGTGAAGATATGTGAAGTTAAAATTGGTATATGTGGGTGAAAGTAATGACAAATGTCCCTCAGGGTTTCTTAAGTGCATGTGATCCTTTCGGGATCCCGCAACCATGACAGAAAAAAACAGATTTAGTAGTGAACCACTCACCAGACTTGGTCAAAGAGGATAAAAGGTCCTCAAAATGCTCTGGCATTTTGATTGTAGGTACTGCAAAAGTCATTTGGGGGACATGACTGTTATAACGGAATTGTTCGCTCTCAGGGATCCTCATTCCCTTCGGCGTGCATCCTTTCTTCCCCTGGTGAATCCTCAGGCCCTGATAGGTCGTGACTTTGGACCAGCCACAGCTGCAAACCTGGAAGCTCATGTCTGAAGTCTCTGATTATCTGTGGAAGGTAAATACATGTTTTTAATCAGTAAGTCAATCAGAATGGAGAATCTATATACATATTTAAATGTATACATTCAAATAAATTAAAAACACCTCGTCCTTTCCTCTGTACCAACCTTTTCAATGTTCACGTTTTTTGTAATTAAGCTAAAAACCATCAAAATTGAAATGAAAAAATATTGGAGGAGAAATAAAACACCAGCGAGATTCTGATGTGATTTATTCTGAGTTCTTTTTTTTAATTTCTTCAGATCTAATGTTTGCATTCATCGTCACTTTTATGTCATTGATTTATTTGTTAACTTAATGTCCTGTCTCGAGTCAGCGTGAGGCTGGGAATAACCGGGGATTTGTCGCCCTCTTGTGGTACTGACTATGTATTACAGTCAGACACATAAAAAGAAAAATGACAAAAATCTGAACAGGAAGCAAGGTGTCGGTCATTGTGGATAAGAAAGCCTTGATAGTGTAACATAAACTTCGATAAAAACAAGGTTTGGATGAGAATAAATTGAACTTAAAGGGAATTACACATCACAGAAGCACAGGAAAAGACAAGAGAGATACAAGATAAAGAAAAAAAACATGTAGCAGTCAAAATATGAGGAAATACTCTCTGTTTTCCTGGTAGAGTCACTCCTTCACTAGCGAGAATAAAAATGTCGGACCTGCCCAAAAGTTCGGCTCGAGGCAGGGGGTGGAGTCCATGGGAGGAGATACCAGGGGAGGGGAGGTTGTTTTTTTTTTTTTAACCAGAATCCCACTGTGACATCACAAGTTGATGCAAATCTGAAACAGAGCATTTTTCTCTGTGTTGTAAGACTTGTGCAGACCACAAAAAAAGGACTGGATGGGGTCAGTAGACACTCAGGTTACCCCAAATAAATGTTCAAACACACTTTAACAGTGAATTTTTTTATAATATGTCCCCTTTAATGTGTGGAGTTTGCATGCGTGGGTTCTCTCCGGCTTCCTCCCACAGTCCAAAGACGTTCTGGTTTATTAACTGGTGACTCTACATTCCCCTGTAGGCGTGAATGTGAGTGTGGCTGGTTGTCTGTCTCTACATGTCTGCCCTGTCCACCCCCCCCCCCCCCCCGCCCCCCCCCCTCCCGAACGGAAAAAGCGGTAAAGATAATGGATGGATGGATGTGTTTAAACAATATCTGTTATTAACCTGATTTAAACAAGCGTTAGTTTCTATTCACACAACTCTTCACTAAGAAGTAAAAGAGGATATGAAACTTTTTTTGACACCACGTCAGGTGTTAGGTTTCATTAGGTGGAAACAGATAATTATATGTTACACACACACACCCATGTTGTCTTGGCCGTGTTTTGAAACACACCCTGAAACGTACACTGTATTTGCATCACTGCATTGAGTATCACTCTTACCCACAGGCGCTATTTCTATTCCCACACTTACACTTGTTTGCACTGTGCACTCTGCTGCTCAGCGACAGAAGGAATGAATTAATTGAGCTCTAATAACATTTAAACATCTCTTCAATTCAGGAGGATTTCTTTCCGAGGCATAAAGTGTTTGTCATAACATTTTCATGTCATATATGTGATGTGATATTTCATATCGTAAAAAGTGCTTTTGCGCAGCTTGACGTCATCAATTAGATTAACTTCTCTCAGCAGCCCAAACTGTAACTGACTTCCAGCCTCAATGCATTATTTTAAATGATTTGATATTTAGTTGTAAGTTATTTTCATTTGAATACATATCTCATAACAAAAAGTTGAAACATCGCTCTCCGGCAGCTTACCTTGTCCTCTGTTACCTCGACGCGCCTCTCTGTGATCTGACTCTCGTTTTCCTATATGTCTCTTTATCCGTGCGCTGTGAGAAGTTTTAGTTTCGTTTCACTTAAACAATCAAGTGGATTCTCTTTTATTGGCTTGCACCATCCACACCCCACTGCATGGTTTACACAATAAACTGGCACTCTTACACAAGACCAGGCTTAAATGTACAAGGGGGGGGGGTCTGTGAACTGACCACAAAAAAAGAAAAAATGAATCTATGTTAAAAATGTATTACTAAACATGAAAAAATAGATAAATACATTATAACAATGGTAATATTTTTAATTTATAAAGCATGTAAAGGTCACATTTTATGCAAAATACACTTCATCATGTTTCTACTATTATTTTATTTTATTATTATTATTTATTTTTTTTATATATTTTTTTTCTACTAATATGTGTCTAAATAGTGCGTCTACAGACCCCCAAATGATAGATAGATAGATAAAGATATTTCCAACTCCAACAGAGATCATTTCTATGGGACTCTTTTTGGGAACTATTAAGTTTTCCCTTATGTCCACCACTTCATACACCAACATTTGTTTTGGTTATTGTTGAAAATGTCCCGTAACCCCAAGAGGCTGTAAAAGAATCCCTGTTGTCGGCTTGGTAACACATTTTCTTTCCATCAGCTGGTGGTTGGATATCACCTTCACGTCCCCTAGAGCTGAGATGGAACAACAAAAACAATGTTCAAAAATCTGTGTTAGAGGTTCAAACTCAAACTTAGTGTGTTATTAGAAGATTTGAGGCACAACTACAACACATAAATACTTGTCTTTGTAGATATTTCACTGACTTTCCATGTATCCCTCTAAATTACATGTAAATGGTAAATGGACTTGAGCTTGTAAAGAGCTTTTCTAGTCTTCTGACTACTCAAAGAGCTTTTACACCTCAGGTCACAGCTTCACATTCACACACTGATGGTAGAGGCTGCTATGTAAAGTGACCATCAGAAGTAATCCCTATCATACACATTCATACACCGCCAATGAAGCAGTGGGAGCAACCTGGGGTTATGTGTCTTGCCCAAGGACAGATGAGAGTCTGCTAACTGTGCCACAGCCTCCCAAGTAGAACCCCATTCCCTAAAGCGCTGTGTGAAATGAAATCCAAAACAGAATATCATGACTTGCAAAACATTGAAACCCAATATTAGACCGAAAAATAGCACGAAGACATCATGTCAACTTGTGAAAGTCAAAAGTGTCTTTCTGGAAAAACCTTCCAAAAGCTTGGGTAATGAGGCCTCTTACCTACACCTTCAATATAGGAAGCGCTTCTGGTCTTCACATGCTTACATTTCATCCCCCCGCCCCCGGTATAAATGTATTCTTTTTACTATCTTGCACAATTAATTTGGTTTACCTCTTCAAATCTGTGATTCTAGACCCATGCAGAAAAATCTCATCTCTGTATTTGAGTTATTTCATTCTGAACCAGAAAGTGTTGGACCAACCAAAAGAGAGGTCGACATCCCCTGAGCACCATTACTAGCATTGCTATCAATGTTACTCCTTTGACTGATGGTTGACTGATTGCCCCAGAAAGCAATCTTGTAATTCCTACCTCCTTCCTGAAAGTCATTCTCTGAGGGTGCATCGCTTTCCACTGAGTCTTCCAGAAGTGCTGATCGCTCTGTGGAATCTTCAGTCCCTTCGGCGTGCATCCTTTCAACCCCTGGTGAGTCCTCAGGCCATGGTAAGTGGTCCACTTGGACCATCCACAGAAACAAACTTGCTCGTCTAAAATAAGGTTTTGTAGAGAGGTGTGATTGAAAAAATCTAGTTTGGGAGGATTTTACGCCATTGTACTTGAAAATATAGCTTTATAATAAGTTACTTGTAATTATGAAGGTGATTTGCTTTATTACTCCCATGAGCCTGTGATTAGTTTGTATATTTATGTTGCATAAAGCTCTACTTTCAGATATTGAAATACAAAACCCACCAGTTGCCAAGTTGTGGACATCAAGCCTGTCGTCCTTCTTATTGGTCTTCAATCCAGACTTTCCCCTTGGCTTGCATCCTTTTTTCACCTGGTGAGTCCTCAGGCCTCGGTCAGTGGTCCATTTGGACCATCCACAGTCACAAACCTGCTGGCTCTTGCCTGAGTAGTCTGCTGCTGTTTCTGTGACAGAAGGTAGTGAAGAGGTGTGATTGAACACATTTGGGAGGATTTCTCTTTTTTCTTTTTTTATACTTAATTTCAGACCCATAGGTCCATATTGTTATAAAATAAGAGCACAAGAAATATAAATACAGGACATTTTACGCCATTGTATTTGAAAATATAGCTTTATAATAAGTTACTTGTAATTATGAAGAGTTACCAAGGTGCTTTGCTTTATTACTCCCATGAGTCTGTGATTAGTTTGTATATTTATGTTGCATGAAGCTCTGCTTTCAGATATTGAAATACAAAACCCACCAGCCATGGTCAAGTTGTGGACATCACGGTTGAAGTCCTTCTGATTGCTCTCCAATCCAGACTTTCCCAACATGTCTTGCTGCTGACTTCCTTCATATCTCTTCCCCCTTGGCTTGCATCCTTTTTTCACCTGGTGAGTCCTCAGGCCTCGGTCAGTGGTCCATTTGGACCATCCACAGTCACAAACCTGCTGGCTCTTGTCTGAGTAGTCTGCTGCTGTTTCTGTGACAGAAGGTAGTGAAGAGCTGTGATTGAACACATTTGGGAGGATTTCTTTTTTCTTTTTTTATACTTCATTTCAGACCCATAGGTCCATATCATTATAAAATAAGAGCACAAGAAATATCAGGGGTGCAAACTCATCAGGGATGAAAAAGGTGACATGGATCCAAACCTCCTAGGGGGGTCTGGGGGCATGCTCCCCCAGGAAGATTGTTTTTTTAAATATCAGCTTTAAAATGTGAATTTACAGACGATTTTAGAATTCAGACTAAAGAAGCAAACAATAAGAAAAACACAATCGCTTGTCGATATCTATGTTCTGTTTTAACTTTTTGATAAAGCTTCAGTGAAACATGAAAAACCTGAGCTCCCAACCTTGAGTGAGGGTTGAGAGTGAATTTGCAGAACTGGGCTCACCATGTTCCACTAAGGGCTGATGTGAAGGGCAGTCACTGTGCAGGTAGCTCTCAGAGCAGCGTCTGAGAGAACATCATAACACAGTCATCAAGTATGACAATGTTTTATCTCCTATCATTAAATATGTAACATTATCAATATATGAACCTGATGTTTAGCTCCTGCTGATTCTCATTAAGTTTATATTCCCTCTCTTATTACATGTGTTGACCAGCTGTCACTTTAATGTTTCCTGAGATAATAATGAAGCAGAAAGCTGGATGAAGTTACCTTCAGCTAGCACAGATTTCTATCATCATCTTTACCTCTGGCTACCAAACAGTAAATATGATCAGACAGGATGTTTAACAGAAATCTTTCCACAGTGTTTCCACGGAGAAGTAACGTTATGTAAATGAGCCATGTGCTGCACATTGAGACTCATTGAATCAGGTTTCACGGGTCTGCGGAGGGTCTGAGGACCCAGCTGTGTACCTCCAAGATTTTGTAACGACGCGGACGGGTTCGTGCCGACAGCGTTGTAATGATTGCAATGGCGTGTTGAGCGCTCGCGCTCTGACTGCAGTCAGTATGAAACGTGCTCACCGGCTGCAAGAAGCTCGCGGCGCAGATTAAACCCCCCTCCCCCCCCCCTTCCTCCAGATGTTTTTATTGCAGATCTAAATGAATCACACAAATGACCTGTTTGGCATCTCGCCGAAAGATGACAAGTTTGCACCTCTGAAATATAAATACAGGACATTTTACACCATTGTATTTGAAAATATAGCTTTATAATAAGTTACTTGTAATTATGAAGAGTTACCAAGGTGCTTTGCTTTATTACTCCCATGAGTCTGTGATTAGTTTGTATATTTATGTTGCATGAAGCTCTGCTTTCAGATATTGAAATACAAAACCCACCAGTTGTCAAGTTGTGGACATCACGGTTGAAGTCCTTCTGATTGCTCTCCAATCCAGACTTTCCCAACATGTCTTGCTGCTGACTTCCTTCATATCTCTTCCCCCTTGGCTTGTATCCTTTTTTCACCTGCTGGCTCTTGTCTGAGTAGTCTGCTGCTGTTTCTGTGACAGAAGGTAGTGAAGAGGTGTGATTGAACACATTTATTTTAGCATTCATTTACAACATCAAACTGGATAATAACATAGTTATAATTCTTTGTGAGGTGTTTCATCCATGCACCCACCAGCCTCAGTGTTGTTGACCTCAAGCAGAGTTCCCCTTCATTGTCATCCGATTCACCATTTTCCAACATGTCTTGCTGCTGACTTCCTTCATATCTCTTCCCCCTTGGCTTGCATCCTTTTTTCACCTGGTGAGTCCTCAGGCCTCGGTCAGTGGTCCATTTGGACCATCCACAGTCACAAACCTGCTGGCTCTTGTCTGAGTAGTCTGCTGCTGTTTCTGTGACAGAAGGTAGTGAAGAGGTGTGATTGAACACATTTGGGAGGATTTCTTTTTTCTTTTTTTATACTTCATTTCAGACCCATAGGTCCATATCGTTATAAAATAAGAGCACAAGAAATATCAGGGGTGCAAACTCATCAGGGATGAAAAAGGTGACATGGATCCAAACCTCCTAGGGGGGTCTGGGGGCATGCTCCCCCAGGAAGATTGTTTTTTTAAATATCAGCTTTAAAATGTGAATTTACAGACGATTTTAGAATTCAGACTAAAGAAGCAAACAATAAGAAAAACACAATCGCTTGTCGATATCTATGTTCTGTTTTAACTTTTTGATAAAGCTTCAGTGAAACATGAAAAACCTGAGCTCCCAACCTTGAGTGAGGGTTGAGAGTGAATTTGCAGAACTGGGCTCACCATGTTCCACTAAGGGCTGATGTGAAGGGCAGTCACTGTGCAGGTAGCTCTCAGAGCAGCGTCTGAGAGAACATCATAACACAGTCATCAAGTATGACAATGTTTTATCTCCTATCATTAAATATGTAACATTATCAATATATGAACCTGATGTTTAGCTCCTGCTGATTCTCATTAAGTTTATATTCCCTCTCTTATTACATGTGTTGACCAGCTGTCACTTTAATGTTTCCTGAGATAATAATGAAGCAGAAAGCTGATGAAGTTACCTTCAGCTAGCACAGATTTCTATCATCATCTTTACCTCTGGCTACCAAACAGTAAATATGATCAGACAGGATGTTTAACAGAAATCTTTCCACAGTGTTTCCACGGAGAAGTAACGTTATGTAAATGAGCCATGTGCTGCACATTGAGATTCATTGAATCAGGTTTCACGCTTCTGGTGCGCAATCGCGAGAGGAGGGTCTGCGGAGGGTCTGAGGACCAGCTGTGTACCTCCAAGATTTTGTAACGACGCGGACGGGTTCGTGCCGACAGCGTTGTAATGATTGCAATGGCGTGTTGAGCGCTCGCGCTCTGACTGCAGTCAGTATGAAACGTGCTCACCGGCGCAAGAAGCTCGCGCGCAGATTAACCCCCCCCCCTTCCTCCAGATGTTTTTATTGCAGATCTAAATGAATCACACAAATGACCTGTTTGGATCCCGCAAATCGCCGGAAAGGTGACAAGTTTGCACCTCTGAAATATAAATACAGGACATTTTACACCATTGTATTTGAAAATATAGCTTTATAATAAGTTACTTGTAATTATGAAGAGTTACCAAGGTGCTTTGCTTTATTACTCCCATGAGTCTGTGATTAGTTTGTATATTTATGTTGCATGAAGCTCTGCTTTCAGATATTGAAATACAAAACCCACCAGTTGTCAAGTTGTGGACATCACGGTTGAAGTCCTTCTGATTGCTCTCCAATCCAGACTTTCCCAACATGTCTTGCTGCTGACTTCCTTCATATCTCTTCCCCCTTGGCTTGTATCCTTTTTTCACCTGCTGGCTCTTGCCTGAGTAGTCTGCTGCTGTTTCTGTGACAGAAGGTAGTGAAGAGTGTGATTGAACACATTTATTTAGCATTCATTTACAACATCAAACTGGATAATAACATAGTTATAATTCTTTGTGAGGTGTTTCATCCATGCACCCACCAGCCTCAGTGTTGTTGACCTCAAGCAAGAGTTCCCCTTCATTGTCATCAGATTCACCATTTTCCAACATGTCTTGCTGCTGACTTCCTTCATATCTCTTCCCCTTGGCTTGCATCCTTTTTTCACCTGGTGAGTCCTCAGGCCTCGGTCAGTGGTCCATTTGGACCATCCACAGTCACAAACCTGCTGGCTCTTGTCTGAGTAGTCTGCTGCTGTTTCTGTGACAGAAGGTAGTGAAGAGGTGTGATTGAACACATTTGGGAGGATTTCTTTTTTCTTTTTTTATACTTCATTTCAGACCCATAGGTCCATATCGTTATAAAATAAGAGCACAAGAAATATCAGGGGTGCAAACTCATCAGGGATGAAAAAGGTGACATGGATCCAAACCTCCTAGGGGGGTCTGGGGGCATGCTCCCCCAGGAAGATTGTTTTTTTAAATATCAGCTTTAAAATGTGAATTTACAGACGATTTTAGAATTCAGACTAAAGAAGCAAACAATAAGAAAAACACAATCGCTTGTCGATATCTATGTTCTGTTTTAACTTTTTGATAAAGCTTCAGTGAAACATGAAAAACCTGAGCTCCCAACCTTGAGTGAGGGTTGAGAGTGAATTTGCAGAACTGGGCTCACCATGTTCCACTAAGGGTGATGTGAAGGGCCGTCACTGTGCAGGTAGCTCTCAGAGCAGCGTCTGAGAGAACATCATAACACAGTCATCAAGTATGACAATGTTTTATCTCCTATTATTAAATATGAAACATTATCAATATATGAACCTGATGTTTAGCTCCTGCTGATTCTCATTAAGTATATTCCCTCTCTTATACATGTGTTGACCAGCTGTCACTTTAATGTTTCCTGAGATA